GTTCTGGGCACCACGACCTTGTGGAGGAGATGGAAGATAAGATAGTTGGTGGTTGGCTGCGGAGGATTAGGCGTACGGGGGATTGTACACTGCGGACAGATATGAAAACATCTTTGAATCGTGCCTCTCAGTTCAATGAGAATTCGAGACAAGGCTCTTTCTCTTGCATCTCTTCACATGCTTATCTTCACCACCCCTCCCACCTGTGTCCCGTCCGGAAGGCAGAAAGAAATCCCGACTCACACAGCCGTTCCTCTGCCTTACTGCGCCCCCGCTCCATTTCTTTAATTATTTAGATGAATTCCTTGGTTTTAATAGCCAAACATTGCGTGACACCCTGCTGTGGGGGCTTTTATTGTCAGGGAAGCCATCTCTGGCTCCCTAAGTAAGACGGATGCTGGTGGAGGCAGAGGGACCCTGACGACTAAGAATGGAGTGGCCTGCTCCTTAGAAGTGTGGGGTGCTGCACCCCACACACACGCTTCGGGGTGGGGTGGGGGGGTGCGCTCTGTGGGAGCTGATCTTCCTCATGTTCTCCTGGCTGCCTCCTTCCTGATCAGCCCTGGGGGGCCCGGCAAGCCCCTGGGGGGTGTGTCCGTGGATCTCAGAATGCACCAAGGCCACGCTACAGAAAATGATACTAAATCCAGCAGGGATGCTCCTTGGCAGCTTTATTTTATTCACTGCACCTTTAAAGAAGCTATCAGAGAAAACATTTTAAAGAGATATTTATTCTGTGGTTGGGAGTCCATGCAGCAAGACAGACCAATTCAAGAGGGACAGACATTTCAGCAGCAATGCTCGGAATCAGCTTTGAGGGCCTGTCTGCACTCCTTCTTTTCCTGGTTCCTTCCATGTTTACCCATCTGTCAATAACCCACCCATTCTTTCATGGATTCACCTAGCCATTCTCTTCATCCACTCCCCCACCTAACCACCCATCCATCCCCCCACCTATCCATCCATCCCCCCGCCATCCATCCACCCCCCCATGCCCCCCAGCTGTACACCTTCTTCATCCATCCGCTCATTCACTCATCTATGCACCCTCACCATCTTCTCCATCCCCCCACTCAAGATCTGAGGTCCTGCCAGCTACCAGGTGCTGTTAGGTGCTTGGTAAAATAAGACCCTGGGCTATGTCTTTCAGGACCTCCCCGGCAAGGGGAGGCGACAGGTGAGGAGATGATGTGCTGATGGCAGCGTGACTCAGTGCTGTGGGACACACCAGGCCCGCCTGCAGCTGTCCTCAACCTCAGCGCTGGGGCCCTTGGGCTGTGGGCAGGTCATGGAACTGGCAGTCCTTCTGCCTCCAGCCTCTCAGACAGCAGCCACTAGGAAGTTCAGCTCTATCACCAGGGTGGGGTGGGAGCTGGTTTCTGCCTCAGGGTCAAGTTGGAGGGATTGGTGCATTGTTGTGATTCTTTCTATGTGGGGCTTCCTGGGTGTGCTGACCGCAGGGGTCCATGGGATGGAGGGTTGTTCCTTATAGATCCAGCTCAACTTGGCTCTCCCATGCCTGCCCGGGCCCAGAGTGGCCTGAGGGACGCTCTGGAGATGCTAGATTTGTGCAACCCCAGGGCAGGTGGAGGGCTCTTCAAGAAGCCCCATGGCAGAGTCTACCAGAAAGACAAGGTCTACCTGATGTGGTCTAACTGATAGGCAGGGCTTCACTGATAGTGTCTACTTGAGGGACAGTCTACTTGACAGGCAGGGTCTCCCTGGCAGACAGGGTCTAACTGACAGACAGGGTCTGCCCACATCTATGTCTTCGAGCCTTGGGAAGATGAATGCCTTTGAACTTCCTCTTTTCCAACTGAAGGCAAGACAGAGGGCATGGAATCACAAACAGCGCTGTTGGTTTTCACAGATGGACTTTTGGGAAAGAATTGGTGTACTTTCGAGATTGCTACTTGGAACCAAGAAGTCATGTTTCCAAGTGACAGGGAACAGCCAGAGTGGAGCCCATTTCCCGCTGGAACCATGGCTGGCTCTAGGATGCCGCGAGGAGGCTGTGTAGCTGAGGCTAGGGCGCTCAGCCCACCGACCCCGGACAGCTGGGCAAGCGAGTGCATGCTGTTGTCTCTTTCTGATGTGCGAGGGTCACTCCGGGGCCCCTGGAGCCCTTTGCTGTGGACCAGCTCACCTTGAAGAGGGAGAAATGGCAGCAGTTTTGATCGCACCGTGTTGAAAGCATATGCGAAGGAGCACTTGGTGATCTGATGAGCGTCAGTGAGAATTCATGGAGTCCCGCAAGGTGGACTTGCTGGCCACAGGGTCAGTCAGCCAAGTCACTGCCTTGAGCCAGTTCCAACTCCCCGTGATGCTCCAGGGTGGGGTGGAACTGCCCCTGTGGGCTGCCCTGGGACTATAACTCTTTCTGAGAGTAGAAACCCTTGTCTTTCTCCTTTGGAGCTGCTGCTGGTTTCAAACTGCTGACCTTGCGGTTAGAAGCCCAAACGTGTAACCACTAACGTGACCAGGGCACCTTACTAACTTTTAGTTTGTAGAAACCGCACTATCCAAGGGGCACAACAACGTGACAAAGGGTGCCTGGATTTGTAAAAAGACCCCAGGAGTGGTGGTTGGACCGCCAGGGCCCCGGTCCTGGCTCTGCTGTGATTGGGTGTCAAGTGCATAACTTGAGGCTCTTCTGTCCTTCATCCATAGCAGTGCATCTTTAAGGGCCACTTGGTAGTGTCGGGATGGGGGCGGGGTGCGGAATTGTGTCTGCATCTTATAGGTACACTGCTCCCCACCCCACCCCCTTAGATGTGTCCATCCTATCTTTAAAATTTTTTTTATTACTGGAATGTTTACTTTTTCCACTTTTGGAACACAGTAGGCTCACTGGCAGGGGTGCTGGCAGAGTGGGGATCCGTGCGTGAGGCTTCAGAGGCTGAAGGATATGGTCACGCTGACCTGGGACATGTCAGCGATCCTCCAAGCCTCTTCTGATGCTAAGACGCCGAATATAAACTTAGCAACATCCAATAGCCTTTCATGTCAGTGGAGAGCACTTGAGATTTATGCATTTTTGTGAGAATTGAGGTGGATGCCTGAGAAAAGGGAGTTCTCTTCATACGTGTACTTTTTGATATTTTGAATGGTCCTGAGTGGGCGAGGGGGTGCAGTGTGCTTGCTTGGGCTTCTTATCGGGGATTGCAGTGGTGAGAGCACTCGGCGTAGCAGAAACCGAATAGCAGCAAGCACAGTCACCCACTGCCACTCGGTTTATTCTGACTCATAAAACCCAAAAAGCCAACCATTCCACTCTGACTCATAGCGACTCGTTAGGGCAGAGTAGAACTGCCCCTTTGGGTTTCCTAGGCTATAAATCGGGTGGGGGAAGCTTTTTACTGCCAAGGGCCATTTGGATATTTGTCACATTATTCTCAGGCCACACAGAATCATTAACTGAAAAATGAGCCTGCTCTCTTTGGTCAAGCATTTAATGAGCTCACCCCTCGCGTGATGGCTGGAACCGCTTCTCTGGCGAGGCGTGTGATGTTCGCTGGGACTGATGATTTCACAGGCCTTCTGCCGCCCAAAGGCCAGACGTACCCTTCCCCTGCTGTAAATCTTGGCTGGAGCAGACGGCCTCATGTTTCACTTGCAGATGCTGGTGGGTTTGAACTGCTGACCTTGCGGTTAGCAGCCCAACACGTACAGAACCCATTATGTCATCAGGACTCCTTTTAGGAAACTATATAGAGGGTTTCCGAGGCTGTCAGTCCTCATGGGAGCAGACAGCCTCATCGGTCTTCTGTAGAGTGGCTGGTGGGTTCAAACTGCTGACCTTGCGGTTAGTAGCCCGATGCCTAACCCACAGCGCTACTAGAACTCCGCACCACCACAGTGTGAAGCTTCATAGTTGAGTCTGTCTTGGGCTCCACTTTCTTAAAGACCCCAAATACCCACACAATGATGTGTAGTGCTAAGAAGACAGACCTATCAGACCTGTCCCCGAAAGCCAGCCATCGAGAGACGTGTGGGGTGCAGTTCTGCTGTGTCATTCAGGGGGGTCCCCATGAGTCGGTGTGATGGCAGCTGCGTTGGTTGGCTGAGTGTGCAGGGTGGATGGATGGGCAGATGGGAAATTGAGGTTGAGGATGAATTAATTGTATGTTGGGTTCTAGATCTTATCAGGAAGAAGCCATTGTGTGGGAGGGGCATGCCTGCTTTTGATTAAGTGGTATTTCCCCCAAATCTCGTTATAAATCTCGGCCTGTGGGTGTACCCCCTGTGGACTTGGCTGATGAGGCAGGCTTAGGGCAGGGTGTGTTTTGAGGTAGAAAAGAGATTCAAAGCATGCCAACAGGCAGAGATGGGGTGGGATCACTGAGATCTCTACAGGAACAGGACGTGGAAGAGGATGCTCCCCCCCAATCCCCCTTCAAGCAGACACAGGGAGAAAGTCTTCCTCTGCGGGGGTGGAGAGAGAGAGAGAAAGAGAGAG